AGCTAGAATTAGATAAGATGAGAATCAGCAAATCTTGCTCCCTTTACTGCTGCTGCCGGCGGTGATATGTCTTCCCAATAAAGCGTCCACATCACATTACTGTGCTGAAATTCTGAATAGAACCCCTATAAAATGTGGCCAACCCATAAAGCTCCGAACCCCATGTAGTGTGGTAGGTATAGGCCAATAAAATATAGCCTTAACCTTGTACAAATTGCCAAAAAATAAAAAACCTTCTACAGATCAATCTTCACACTATCAGCTGATGCTACAAAGCCTAGAAACTCAACACTAGGCACCATAAAACAACACTTGTTCAAATTAACATATTGTATTAGTAATTACTTTTGAAGACAGCTTTCTCCATTTACTTAATTCTGCATGTTAATTTTAATATTTTAGCATGGTTATAACGTTGCAGATACTTCATTCGACAGAGATGGCAGTAGAGCATAGCTTGGCGAGTACTGGTCGTGCCAATGCCCGAGCAATGGAAATATATTCAGAGAGTTCTAAAACAACATGCTTCACATGGATTCTAATTTTCATCATGACCTGTATTTTCATCATGGTTGTACTTCTCATTCGCATCACCTAGACATTCATTGGAGTAAGTGCTGCTTCCATTCATGTTTTATTTGTCACGTTGTGTTTTTTAAGGGTTTCTGTAAAATTCTACAAGGAGTCTGTACAATTAGAATTATATTCACTGTTGGATTTTTTGTATGTGTATCCCAAAGCCCTATATTTATGATCACTTTTTTGATCTCCAGAAGTTGCATTTTATTAGGATAAAGTGAAACTGTATGAGACAAACAAAAAAAATTTGGTTATCTTTGATAATTAAAATCAAAGTCAACTAGTGAAGTTCCCTACATGCCTTATTCTATTTTTGCCACTTTGAGGGATGATGTTTTAGATGTCAATCGCGTAGGGACCCTCATAATTGTTTTGGAGTGTGATCCACTAGTTCATATACTTGACCTAACCTTGAATTGGTAATTTCTCCAACAATTATTAGCCGTCCCAAGTTATAATTTTCTTGCCCCAAGAAAGGGCTTATCACTGGCACTTGATAACTACTTTGACTAAAAAAACAAGAAAAAGATAATAGATTGCTAGTTGCTGCCACAAATCTCCTCTCATTACTAGGCAGAGAGGTCAACCTTTCCCCAAGCTATAGTGTTGAATACAGTTCACAGGGGAGGTCTACTTTTACAAGAAGACCAAGAGAGAATATTAGGGAAAAGATGTTAATGGTTCCATTACATGTGATGTGATACATATTTATAACGAACCACAGAACAGTCATAACCATTTCTGATTACAAATCATTGACAATGATTGGCTCATCATAATCCTAAAATGGTCTTCTTAACAACTTTATTCTCCGCATAAGTGGTCCTTCAATGGGTGACAAATGTCTACCACACATGGTTTGCAATATCAACGATATTCGGCAAAGTATCCCTGAAATATCCCTATTTGCTGCTAGCTGGTGATACAAAATGTTTCAGGAATCTTTTTTTTTCCAAATATCCCCAATATTTTTCCTATATATTGGCAACATTTCAGGTTTCATTGATAGACTATATGTTTGAAGTTTAAAATTTTACAGTATTATTAGAAAACCTATCAATATTTCATTAATATCATCATAATTTTTTAAAAAATATTGTCCTAAATGAACCACTAGGGAATTGATGATTGGTTAATTGGCTTACTACTTTGATATGATTCACTAAGTCACTATAATTCAAAAGAAAAAGAAAAATG